GACTTTAAGATTCCATAATCATGCATGTAGATGAACATGGAATCCAGCGGTGAATTTATGTCCCTGGGATGGTTCTCAGTTTCTCAATCGATATCCCGGCAGTTGACAAGAAAAACAGCAGAACTATTTGTGGCAGGTACAGGCAGTTTTCTGAACTTCCTCAAACAACAATACGTATACACACCATACCACAGGATAACAAAACTGAAGGGACACAGCCTCTGCCACTGCAAAGTAAATAAACCCCATTTGAAAACACTGTGACTAATTATAATTTACTTAAGTCTGTAAATGTTTGTGCTGCTTTTGATAGGCCTGGATAATTCACACTTTACCCGTGTGGGCTTTTGTGTCTTGGAGTTGATTTTAGATTGAGAAAATAGGATCGGGATCAAGAAAGGTGTTCAATATGTGTCACGCATTATTTGCTGGTCAATCAATGAAATCAGAGGGCACCGAGCCTGAATTTTATCACTGCTTATATGATAAATAATTAAGTCATCAAAATAAAAAGCACTGGGATTGTTTTTGGACAAAAAAAAAAAAAAAAAAAAAAACCGATAGCTAGTCAGAGCTGCAGCATTTGAACCAGCACATATTTATTTTTTCATCATCAACATAGTAGACTTATAGTCTCCATGAATTTGTTAAGTAAATAGACAGGTCACAGTCCAGTGAATGGCCATATTATAATATGGCTTACATTATCATACAGTAGCAGTACATGTGGAATCCAATGAACAAGACTGAAATTGGTTTTGGCATGTGTGTTTCCATCTATAGACATCAAACAAAAACACAGTCCATGTATGAGTATCTACATGTAGCTGGTGAAAATAAAAGAGACACACAAAGTAAGGAATGTCAGACCGTTGTAATGGGGAATTGGACACAATCTACCAGAAAACCTGTGTTATTATTATTTTTGGGTGGGTGAAATATAAATTTAACACAAATTTTTTAACTGTTTTTTGTGCAGGAAAATGATCAGATCAGTTATACTGGTATGTGTTATATGTTGTGGGTGGTATGTTGTATTCTTAAAACAACTAAAGCTCATGATCCATGATAAATTAGAAAAAAAATTGGTTAATTAAAACCAAATTAATAAAATAGTTGATAAAATAAGGTAGTGGATATAAGTAAATAGATTTCAAAAAGTTAACAATTACTTTTCGCCTATACATTAAAAAGAAATATATTGGACTACATTTTTCAATTGCCAGAAATTTTTATGTCCTTTAAGTCTGTATTTGCCTAAGACGGATTACGTCCTGTGCACCTTATGTCTGAATTCTCACCATCAGAAATAAATATAACCACAAAAGTTAATAACAGGCATGTCAGGTACCATGTGATAAATTTGAATTTAGCTGAAAAGTACAAAGAGTCTGTGAAATCCAATTCTCTCATCATTATCTGAAAAAAAAACTGCAAACAAAACACCTCAGGAAATAATCTCGAGTAAAAAAAGTTACGATGCACAAAAGTTCTGTCATCATGGTCTTAAATTATAGAGATAATTTCTCAGCAACAATGCACTTTTACTAACCTGTAATTTGACAGTACTTAACGGAGAGTATATTATGGCTTAAGTTTGATAGATGTCTCCGTTAACTACCCTGAAGTTAAGAGTCCGCTTGAAACAAACACTCTAACATCAGTGATACTGCTACATTAATATTATAACAGGGATCCGGTGGCATTGGCAGGGTAGAAGAAGAAGAAGAAATCTCCCATCAGGTCCTAAAGAATGTCTTATAGAAAATTGGCCCAAAGTCCTCTTTGGTCCTATAGCACAAATATCCTAGATATGAATCCTATAGGACATGTAGAATTCCTGTAGAGGCCCATAGAGTCCTGTGGGATTCCTATAAAGTCCCACAGAGTCCTGTAGGAAATTTTTCCTAAGGTTTGCCGTTAGCTTGACCTCCGGGGTACAAAATTATGGAGAAAATTTCTTTATTACTAATAACAGTTACAGGTAGATGTCCTTGTCCTTCAGACTGACAGCTATTATAAAGAAGTCATGGCTACTGGAAATAATAATACCTAATTAGAGCAGGAGTTTATTGTTTGATTCATATACAAATATTGTACATGATTCAGCGAGGCACTTTTGACATCCTTAAGCGTCTTCAATGTGTGACTTATATAGATAGATGTTATATAAAGTACATACAGTATAATATACCAGTTGATTCACAGTCCTTATAAAATTTACCAAAAAGATAACAATAAATAATGATAATAATAAAAGTAACAATAATATAATTTAAATTGCATGGTGATTAACTTAGGTGTGTACTGATATCTGTAATTTCCATATTTCACTCGGGGCAACAACTACCAAGCCCTTTCAATACTATTTATGGTTTACAACTATTTCTACTACTATGAAGTTATTTCAGTTTGCATTTATTACATGACAGCTAAGTTAGATGTAGAAATATACATTCAAAAACTGGCACTTAAAATAAAAATGTTAACAGTGTTTTTATAAATATGAAGCAAGAATATATATGACAATTAATTGAGTAAAAAAAAATCACACAAAGGTTGACTGTTAAATAACAATTTTCCAGTCTTTGAGGAATCAGCTTGGGTTTACAGTATTATCTTTCCCCTTAGCTAAGAAAAGGTCATGTCTTGACTCACAGGGCCATCTATCTGAAGGCAAGTTGCTCCTTTCTCTCACCTGCATGTCAAAGGTTAATTGACGATAATGATGACAATTTTTCTCATATCCACAGGGCTTGTGAAACATATCTTTTTTAGCTTTCAGCATACAGGTGCTATTATTCATGGCAAGGGTTGAATTATAATGCTGTCAGTGAGTTATGTGAATTAACAGACCCATCTTGCTGTGACCGCCTTAATCGCTGGTTTGTTCATTTGTGTGAAAATTTTAAAATGCTGGAAGGAACATATTGCAGGCGCAAGCAAATAGGATTGTGCATTAAATGCGGAAAGAATATTAAATGCAGGGAAAAATTAGTAATAACGGAGAGGACATGCCTGTATATAAAACAAGGAGAACAATGTGTATAAATACATGCTAATAATTATAAGTAATAATATTAAAAATGCCAGAAATATTGCAATATTGTATAGATAACTTCAAAACATTACTGGTATTATAACAAAATTCATCAGCACAATTTTAGATAAAAAAAATTGAAGAGTTTGGAATCTTTGATATTTAATGTCAAGTCACTGGTTCAGTGCGTGTCAAGGCCATAGGTCAAGGTCACACATCAAGGTCATCAGACAAAAGTGAGATCTTGTCAGCTAGTCCAAACTATCCCCCAGATGATGAAAAAAGACCAGAAGTTACATATTAATTTTTGATATGTCAGTCACCTCAGGTTTGCTCCTGTTAAGCAAAGTTTACAAAATCCAATCAGAAAAACTGGAAAAAACTATAGGATTATCTTTACCACATTTGCACATACAGTAATCTTATTCTAAACAAGCTATCTTAGAAACCAGGCAAATACATCCTGTTGTTGCTGTGTTCTTTAAGACTCTAGATACATATATGTAGTCAACAAGGCATTAATTAAATGTAAATGACAGGGGGCTTCTTTTAATCACAATTTTTGTATCAAAGTGACTGCTTTCTTGAGGATTAATAGCAGTATCACCAAAATACCATGTCAAAACCAGAAAATAATTGAGTGCAACAGATTACTTTATAATTGGGCATCTGACCAATAAAAAGAAACATTTAAGTTTAAGCTTAGGAAATATCACTTGTAACTATGTTATTTAAGGAACATTTTAAGGTGATTTATCATTAAGAGGTTGACTCTGGTGGGAAAGGAAAGGTGTAGAAGTGAAAATATATCAGTAATATATAAGACACTGTGAATATGTGGAAAATGTGATAGTGGTGATGTCATTAAAATGTGATAAGATGTGAAGTGGAACATCATCCCTTCTGTTGCCCAGCATATGCTACGGTTTGATGGGAATGATAATGCCCATGCCTGGAGGCATGCACATTAGACCATTTATGCAGGGACATGCTGTCTTGCACTTACCTGTACATATGCACACATTTTCCTTTAAGCACATTTCTATGCAGCTATATGTACTATGCACACACGAGGGCTGTAGGAACGGGATGTGGGGATAGGGGGTTCAAAAAGAACCACCCTTTTGGTAGGTGAAGCTTGTCAGTTCTGCTTCAGAATTTGAACCAAGTTCTGGTATATCATTTCTCAATTTATCAGAAAAAAGAAAAGCCTACCTTTGAAATTGTTCTTTACAGGCCTACACATACAGATGCATGCACAAATGCACAAGCATGCACACACATACATGCATGCACACACTCTCAAACACAAGATAATCTTCAAAGCTAGCACTGTAACCCACTCTGACAGGTACTTATTATGAAAGTGAAACCTCAGCCAAATTATCATTGAATTTTTTTTTAATTTACAGACTTACTTTGACATCCCAATACCCGCCCAAGGCAAGGTGACGCTGAACAGGTCCCTGGACTATGACAGAGGTCAGAGGGCGATGACAGTAGTCATCATGGCAAAGGTAAGTTGACATGGGACATCTTCACATAAAACCCATCAGTGATAGTTGACACAATCATGTATGATCATTGATGTCAATGACAGTGGTGTCTAGAATGTTAGTGGCGGTTGTCCTCATGGCAAAGATAAGTTGGCATTGGACACAATCACATAAAAACCATCAGTGACAGTTGACACAATCACCTGAAGGTGTCAATGACACAATGATACGGTAGTGTTGAGGATGTCAGTGACAGTTGTCACCATGGCAAAGGTAAGTTGACACAGGACATGAATCATGTCAGTCATGTGAGAAGTCAATGACATTTGACACATTGGTGTATATAGAATATCAGTGACAAGATAGGTTGTCAACTGATGTGCATAAAGTGCCAGTGAATATTAACATGAAATTTAAAATTGACATATGGTTAAGATGTCAGTGACAGTTGACTTACTTTAGGTGATTAAGTTGGCAGCTGACTCATGTTGCAAGCAGCTTATTTCAAAGCATAACAAATAATACGAACATGAAATATGTTTTAAAAACTACTTTAAACTGTGTGACAACATCACCTTGAAAAATTTGTTGAACTGGCATCAGCAGCAGCTGACAGTATGTTGTGGTTCGTGTCAGTGACAATTGTTATCAGTTATTGAAGGCTGTCAGCTGCCATCACTTCTTTAAAGCAGTTAATTCTAAGATAAGAAAATGCTTGTGGAAAAGGTCTTAAATATCTTAACTGTGTAATTGTTTCCTCAGTTTTTAACCATGAGTGTCAGCATCAAAACAAATATTTATTAATCCTGTCATTTTTGTTACCCCTTTAAAGGTAAAAGTTAAAGATTAGCACAGTATAAAGCCAAAACCCATGCCACGTCAGGTGTAGACCTCTTATTTTATCAGCACTGCACGTTTTCTGTGGACATTTCAGTCTATCATTCAAATCGATTCACCCAAATAATAGAAGGAATAACAATGAGAATGACTTGCACAATTACATGTATTATTATGGCCAGATCACGATGAAAGTGAATACAGTATGACAAATGTTTTAAATAATAAATTACTTCTGACCAGATTTTCAATAAATGCTTTCATTCAATTTTGAAACGTTGTATCATCATTTCTGTTACTAATGTAACTATAACATGTTCCAATTACAAAGGACATGAACAACAATCCTCCTTTTAATATACACACATGCTGTATGGAAAAGAACATTTGCATACTTCATGTGTAGGTAGTCAGAGAGGCTATCAAAATACCTGGCTATTGTCAAACAAAATGTCCGCAAGGTGTAAAAGTCCCACGAGATATTAATCCCTCCTCTGATATACACAGGTATGCAAGTCAAATTTGGAATGCTTTCGTTTACAATCATCGGTGATTAAAAGTTTGGGAACACAACAGAATGGTTTCAAGGTAAACACGACCGAAAGGTCATGGTATGTACACGGTACCTTATGGCATTTTTCTCTACATACAGGTGGAGAAAACATGCCCTAATCTGCAGATTAAGTTGTAAGCTAAACTGTTGAACTCGATGTTGAGTTTACACTTGTGCAAGGTAATGGTGTAACACAAGTGTCCCATTTGTTAAACACGAGATTCTTTGTTGGCAGCCTGGTGTTCAAAACTCATTTCTACAACAGCGTAAACATGGGACCCATTGTCCAAGCAGGTTGCTGGATTTATCCTAACCCACGGGTCTTGGAGGGTATTTTAACAGGTGATTAAATAGGAAGTCCTCAGGTGGCCAAAACCCTCGGACATGTGAGAGGTTTTATTTGATCATTGAAATTAATTGAAATGATGTTTAATTTTGCAGAAAATAATACAATATGGATAGTGTAAACCCCTCCCCCCCCCTCCCCAGTCTAGATAATGATATAAATATAGGTAGAAAATTTGGAAGTTTATGGCTTTAAAGGATTAACAATAGGATTTGATAGCAATGGGGCTACCACTTGAGAATACTTAATATATAACCCTTTTGTGACCAGAGTAGCCACTTGACCAATATTGATCTCTGATATGCACTTGTTGACCTGTGTGGGGTCAGTTTAATAACTGCTTTTAGGTAAACATGTACCAATTTGTGTTTAAGAGGAAAAAAATGATATGATTAGAAAAACGCCTGTTATATGCCCTGTCTCAGATTTAAAAAGAAAAAAAAATGAAAGAAGACTAAACTCACATTGACATTAAAATGCACACAGTCCAAACTAAAATATATACTTTGTCAAGCTTTTCAATGGATTAGAATTGTGAAATTAATAGTGGTCTTACAAGGGAAATAAATTGAAAACCATTCACACTTCACCTGTAGAAGTCTCAAGGACAAATACAAGTCCAAAGCATTTACATGTTGTCCAGCTTCATTACGTTAAAGGGAATGTGCCTCTTACCTGAGGCAGGTAACTTAATACAAAGCAGCTAATCCCCCCTTATTTACTATGGTGTAATTGCTTATGTAACACAATAGAGATCAATGTAAATTATGTTATTTGAAGGAGGATGATGTGGCTATGCACATTACTTACAAGTCAAGTTAAGAATGGGCTAGAATAATATGCTTGATTTGATATGCAAATCTGCCCATGGAGCAGAATTAAGAGCAGGAACATTTATTCTAGCTATGTATGTTTTGGAAATTAATTGCTTTGGGTTAGACGCTCTGCATTCCTATTTATTGTGGCCAGTGTATTTGCGTGCTTTTGAATAATTAAGAGCAGAGACTAAGGTTTCTTTGAGTGTCTTTTGTTTTCTTTACATAATTCAACATAGCAGAAATCCATCACTTGTGACAGCTTTCTTCTGTTATCACTATTCTACATACTAGCAATGCCATGTTACATTGTATCAGTTTATAATATCATAACATAGGTGTATAATGTGTATTGGCCTTGTATTGTTTAACAAAGTATCAAAAACTGTCACATTGTTATAGTCTTATGTTATAAATTTCCCACAGTCCAGTATGTTATTTGGCAGATGTTTAATTGTGATTATTTATTTATTTATTATTATTATTATTATGGTTGATAAAACCCACCTCATTCCATTATATACAAGTCAGTTTCACAGTTTTCAAGCTGCAGGTGTTTTAAGAATGCAATTTTTACTTGCTTAAAATTATCTGAAAAATATTTCATTGTAAATTTGAATTAAAAGAAACTACTTATGCATCAAAATTTTTTAGTAACATAAATGCCTTTTAAATATTTATTCATCAATCTAGAAACCATCAATCCTACACAGAGGGTTACCTATTTATAATCATGGTTTATATGGTTTATCTGCATGAATAGGATAAATGTAAGAACCGAACAAAATCATTTGAAACTTTTAAGTCATAGTCAATGCAAAATGTGGCAATGTTTAGGAAAAAAGAATGAAAATGTAGAATTACATTAAAAGCTAAAGAAAAATAAATAAATAAATACCACTGTTGCGGATCCCACACCAAACAAACAAACGACGGGAAATGTTCACACTTTATTTCACGCACACTGACATGGATATGGTGAAAACTAAAAATAACAAAATAATGAAAGATAAATACCAAACTAATTATACAAAATACACAAATATAACATAAATTGAATACAAATATAAAAAGAAATAATGAATTAATTATAAGAAACGGAAATGTTGTGCAAATGATTAACAATAGAATTGAATACAATACGTACAGAGAAATGTGGCTTTCCCGTCCAAATGTTGATCCACAAATTTTGCCTACTAAAACTTCAGACTCGGCGACCTGAGCCTTCGCTCGTCAAATACAACGTGGCCGCGCCCAGAACTGCTGCATACAGTATATATACAGAGTAAATGATTTGCATAATAATACAAAACTGACTAGTGATACGATTGTAAACGCAAATTGTTGTCATAAGCGACAACAGTCTCTATAAGTAAAGTGTTGTCCGGTGCACAAGTTCGAAACTCTCCTGTGATTGGTAACTTAAAGGTAAAACTGTTCATTGTATAATTGGTTCTGATTGGTAAACGTGTACTATCTGAACATGTATATAAGGTGCGAATTGAAATAAATCGGCCTCTTTTTTTTGGCTTTGATGCTCTCATGCTGTTTTTTGCTCTTGACTTTGAGACACCAGTAAGTACATTGTTATTTGTACCTTCATAAGGCACATGGTCACCTATTGTGTAACATATGCTGCATTACAGTTGCTTTTTATGCTATGGTGTCCTCCATTTTGGAAAGAAACCAACCGCAATTAAAAAGAGATATAAAACAGCTTTGCACATATATCAAAAATGTTTTAGCCAATGACGTTACTCACAATTGCAGATAACAATAATTTCTGACATCAAATCACAGTCCCCGAGCTCTCCTCGCCGGCGCAGAGATCAGTTAGATCCGGGGTGTCTACTTTTACGCCTGGCCAAGAAACACCATCATCTATATCGTTGGGAAACAGCCAATGGGCAGGGAATAGTAAATTTATGGCCCAGTAGTCACCGAAGACGGATTGGATATTGCGTGATGTAGAGTTTCTGTTGATCACTTTCAAGTCAAATGCATACTCGTATTGTGATATGCCTTTACGTACTATCCTTACTTGTTCGTTCAGAAATCCGCCAGCCAGAAAGCCTATTATCATCATAGAGTAAATTAACGATATCTCTATGAGTTTATACAAACTTATATATCTGAAAATAAACCTGATCAATGCCACAACGATATTGAGGTCCCAGTAAGAAATATCTTCTACTAAATATGGAATGTAAATTAGGACGTGAATGAAAGAATACAGTAAGGTCACAAAAGACCAGGCCGCTAGCATGATAAAATGCCTCTGATTTCTGAGTCCGACACAACTCCCTGTAAAGTAACAGTGGTGGTCTCGTTTTAAAATGCACCCATTACATATAGGGCAGTGGTGAGCCCGAGGCGGGCGCGGGCGATTACAACGTGGACACGGTCTCGGGCCCCAATATGGAAACAATTCCTGCCTATTTCC